AAGATAAAGAGTCCTGGCTGGAACCCACTGTGAAAGGTCCTCCTCTGCACGTCCAAGTGAGCACAGACCTGCCTGAGAGGAGCAGGAGGGGCCATCAGGAGGGAGCTCATGAAACTTAGAGCCCTTGTGTGTGTTGTGGAGTCCCAGAGCACCCCCACGAGTCCCAGAGGTGGTGGGAAAGGCACTGCAGCGAAGAGAGAGCCTTGCAATTCCCCCTTGAATGTAGGTTCCAGGACCCTGTACCCATCTCCTTTATCATTTTCAGGAAAAATAATTATCCCTACCCAAACATTCCTGCATTTCAAAGCAGAAATGTTCATGAGAACTTTTTTTGTTTGTTTCTTTGTTTGTTTGTTTTTTCTTGGAATCAGAAAAATTTGTTAGGCTTGCCTCCCCAGGGAGCTAAATCCAGGCCCCAAGCACAGGGTAGGGCTGGCAGCTGGGTGCACTCCAGGTGCTGAATCAGGTGTGGGCATGGCTAATGGTGCAGTTCTCCAAACAAAGGTGTCCCTTGATGCCATTGTCCCTCTGAACAGGTGGGTGCTGCCTGGGGGTAACCAGTTATGGACAATCACAAGAATCCAGGCAAGAAGTTACAATCTGATTATTAGAGAGATCCTCTGCCCAAATTAAGGTGTAAATGAGACCATATGCTGAAGCCAACAGTATGGATTTTATGTCACAGGAAATACGATGTAGACAAAGAAAGAAATAGAAAAGGAAGCTAGGAGGAGGGAGAGACAGATTAAGTAAGAAGATACGACCCATGGAAGCAGACAGTGGCCCATGGATCCTCCTCTCTGGTCTTGTCAGAGATGGGGGTCCCACAGAGCTCAGAGCCCAGCGCTGGTTCAGGTTTGAGAGAGCACCCAGGCCCCTTCCCCCAGAGGGGAACTTTTACACTTTGCAGCACTCTGGATCAGGGAAGGGCTCAGAGTCTCGGGGTGCTTTGGGGGTCTGGGGTGGTTTGTGATCCCTCCTGAGACATGACCCTGCCTCTCACGCTGGTGTTGAACCAGTTCTGCCCCCTCAGAAGGGATGAAAACCTCAGAACGAGGTGCAAACAGAAACAACGGCCCGGGTGAGCAGGACCTTCCCGGGAAGGGACGGGGAGTGGTTCAGCTGAGCCTGTTGTGTAAGGGAGGACATTGCCGTGATAAAAACATCACCCTGCTTCTCCAGGGTCTGCTCCTTATCAGCCTTCTCCCTCGTCTGCCTCAAAACCCAGAGCTTCTGGGGTGGCTACTCTGTCTTACACACATCAGAGGGCTCACCACCACACACCCAAAAAAACCCTCCTTCCCCCCTCATAGAGGAGAACCCAGCCCCAGCAGAGCACCTGCTGCCTCTGCAAATGGCCAAATGTTTGAGTTATTAAACACTAATATTTCAGTCTCTCACAGGAACCTCCAGGGATTTCTACTCCAGGCCCACACCCAGAGCAGGGCTGATGCCAAGGCCACACCAAGGTGCTTGGGGGCTTCAGGAAATTCAATATTGAACATTCCCAGGTGTGCAGATCCCTCTCCACTGCTGCAGGATGTGTCCCACAGCTCCGCCACTCATGTCACTGCACAGTTGTTTGGGTTGTAAAGGACTCTCTAGGTCAGGCTGTCCAGATACCTGTGAGCAGGTTGCCCAGGGCTTCATCTCTCCACTGGGATATGAAGAGGAGACCCAGAGTAGATACTCCAACCCTGATGTTTTCTGCTCAGTTTTGTGGTCCTTTTGCAGGCTGGCCTTTTGCACATGGCTCATTTCCATCCTGCTCTTCTCCATGTCCATCCTGCTCTATGGTGGCCAGATGCTTCTGCTCACTGCCACTCTGATCCTCTGCTCACTGCTCCTCTTCTCCACCGTGAGGAACACCCTGAGGTGCCCCATCCAGTTCGGCCCAGTTTCCTTGAGAACAGACTATGGTGAATCCTTTTGGCTGGCATTAGCAACAGGTGAGTGCTCAGCTGGCTTCTGGGGAATTCCCTCTCCATCCCTACAGAGGTGATGGCCCAACAGCACCTCATCCCTTCTTTCTCCATGGCTGGTCACAGAAAAGGATCATTTTAGGTTAGAAGATTTTAGATAAGAATTATCAAGGTAAGGAGAGAAAGAGATGAACAGTCAAGAGAATTGAATGTTTGAAGTTAGCTGCTGGATAGAGATTCCCTCTGCCTTTCAGGACCTGCTCCACTTCTGAGCAGCAATTATTTCCTTTGATCAAACCAGAATTCCCCATGTTACAACATCACCTCCAGGGAGACCAGCCCTTTTCCTGTAGCAGGTGGTAACTCATTTTCCCTGGGCACTCCTCCTCTTCAGGCTAAACAAACCCAGGTCCTCCAGCCTTTCCCTGTGCACGGTGGGCTCCAGCTCTCCCAACTCTCTGCCCCAGTTCACTGACCTCTGTTTTGTACTGGGGAGCCCAAAGTGATGGCAGAACTGAGTTGGGGAAAGAGAAACCAAGACCTTTGCCTGCCTGCTGGGTGATGCCACAGGTCCCTGGTGTGCAGCTGGGAGCCAGCAGAGCTCCTGCAGTGGTGTCCCTGTGTATCTCTGCAGGGCTGCTGAGCCTGCTCCTGGGGCTGGGCATCATCATCCTCAACTCCCTGCAGCCAGAGAAGCTGAAGCTCATCTTCAGCCTGGACAAGAGCAGCGAAGAGGAGCTGTGGGACAAGTCCTGCCTGCCAGCCCAGCCCAGCTGCTCTGCACAGGATGGGCTTATGGTGCCCCTCGGGGAGCTCTGCCACGGGACAGCCACCCAGCTCTGAGGCACAGGGGAGGCAGGGCAAGCCTGCAGATCCTGCCCCTGAATGCACTGAATTCTCTAGGAGCCCACGTGAAATGTGACAAGAACCAAGTGATGAGAATATCCAGATCTGAAAAAGTGTCTCAAATACAACAGTTTTTGTTGGTTTGGTTTTTTCTGTTTTACTGCCCTTCTCCTGGGTCCATCCCAACAAACCCTGAGTCTTCCCCAGGATACAGAGATTAAATCAGAACAAACTGGAGAGAAAGCAAGTAACTGCAGACTCATGGTTATGAGCCAAAGGAGAAGTAGAGCCCACGAGAGCCCTCTCACCCTGAAGACCCTCAAAAATTCCCCCTGCCCTTGGATGCTCTTCCCATCAGCAGTCGGGAAGTGCAGCGGGAGCTGTACCAACTCCTCCTCTTAGTCTGAGGTGAAGAGCAGGATTGCAAAGAGGAACACAATTTAGCAGGATCCTGGAGGTACCAGACCAGGAGGGAAGGAGGGGAGGAGGAGGAGGTGGGAAAGGAGGTGCAACAGTGCCTTGGAGATCAGCTATAACCAATTAGGGAGAGGTGAGCAGCACCTCCAGTCTGGGCTCCTCCTGGGTTACTCATGGCAAAGGTTTCTTAGTGGGTGACTTTGAAATGGGCCAAGGAGACATTTGTCCCCATGGGAAGGAGGCTGCTGCTGGGGGCTTGCCAGAAGAGACCTTCAGATGGGCCCTTCTTGAGAAACCAACCCTCTAAATGACCACAGTGTTTCAAAGGAGAGGGGTTTTAGTAAAGTTTTATTGAAAATAATGCACACGCAGAACAAACCACATTAGTGATATACAAGTATCATCTGACAGAAATAAGTCGCTTACCAGCAAGGATCTCAGAAAGAAAAGTCAAAATACTGAAATTATGTACTTTACAATTAATTGGAATGAAGGTGCCCAGGTTTCCAGCATTCAGATACAGAATCCCAGAATAATTTGGGTTGGAAGGGACCTTAAGGCTCATCTTGTTCCACCCTCCACTGTGGGCAGGGACAGCTTCCACTATCCCAGGCTGCTCCAAACCCCATCCAGCCTGGCCTTGGACACTGCCAGGGATCCAGGGCCAGCCACAGCTGCTCTGGGCAACCTGTGCCAGGGCCTGCCCACCCTCACAGGGAGGAATTCCTTCCCAATATCCCACCTATCCCTGCCCTCTGGCAGTGGGAAGTTATTCCTCCTCATCCTGTCACTAGGGGCCCCTGTCCCCAGTCCCTCTCCAGCTCTCCTGGAGCCCCTTCAGACCCTGGCAGGGGCTCTGAGCTCTCCTGGAGCCCCTTCAGGCCCTGGCAGGGGCTCTGAGCTCTCCCTGGAGCCTTCTCTTGTCCAGGTGAGCACCCCCAGCTCTCCCAGCCTGGCTCCAGAGCAGAGGGGCTCCACCCTCCGAGCATCTCCCTGGCCTCCTCTGGACTTGCTCCAGCAACTCCACATCCTTCTCAGGAAGCAGCTCTGCAGGTGGGGGCTCACCTGAGTGAGGCACAGAGTCCCCTCCCTGCCCTGCTGCCCAGCCAGTCTAAGTGTTCTCCAGCTAGACAGGGATAACTTCACTCTTCTCCCTTTCCTAAGGCATCTTTTTGGCCCACACTAGGCTACAAGTTTCATCTAACAAAGGCCAAATTTGAATGTGAAAATAATCTCATCAGCATATCCCCCACAGCAAACTCCATTGTACATTTACTCAGCCTTTGTTTCTGCAGCAGTTTTTTTGTTCCAGCTCCTGCATCATCCAGCCTGCAGAAGCTGGATCCATACCTGGCTTTCCTGGATACACCTAAACCACAAAATGTCATATTTGGGGGAAAAAATGAGCAGGTTTAATCCCAGGCTTTTGCAGTGGCAGGTGGTCCCAGGCAGAATTGTGACCCATGAGCTGTTTCTCAGTTTCAGTGGGAACAGACAGTGGATAGCCCCTGCATGCAGCGTGGGACAGGGCATGGACAGGAAGGGCAATTCCTCCTGGGACAGGGGTCCCCAGGTGGGTGTGCAGCCCAAGTCTCAGCAGCTGGGAGCTGCTCTGATGGCAGCCTGCCAGCACAGCCTGCCCCTTCCAGAGGGAGACACAGGGAGACACAGTCTGGGAAGTTGCTTCCCAGCACGGACCCATCCCAATGTGGGCTGCAAAGACAGTTGGATGAGGAAATGCATCTCTGGGGATATCAAGAAGAATTTGTTCTGCCCTTTTGGGTCCATCTTCAGGGAAAGAGCGAGGACTTTCTTCTAGATGCTGATGGTTTCAGGGGGCTGAGAGGGAGACAGGCCCTTGCTCACAAAGCGAGAGTTGATGAACACCTCAGGCATCTCCTGGTACTCCTCTGCTTTGTCCTCACGGAGATCAAAGAAAGTTTTCAGCAGGTCCAAACTGAGATGGTGCATTGCCACAATGGTGACCCCAACCACAAAACAGAGTATGCCTGGAAACAAAAATGCACTCTGATTGGGTTCCTGTCACTCCAGCAGTGTCCCCACCCCACAGCTGTCCTTGGATTGTCCCCTGACAGAGGACAAGGCCTTTGCTTTTGGAAGGTGGCCTTCTATTGTGTGAGGTATTCTGAGCATCCTTAAAACCCAGGCAAGTGATCCCAATGTCTTTGCACCTCAGAACTATAAATGCCTCTATTGCTTGAGATGAGGATGGTGTTTCCCCTTTTCCCATCCCTCTCCACACCTGTGCCAGGACCTGCTTTGCCAAGGCACAGGCTGGGGCTCTGGGGAGCTGCGCTTCCACCTGGGAGGGAAGCTCTGGTACATCCAGAGGGGCACAGTGGTGGGACCTGGGGCACCCCGATGTTCTTACCAATTGCCAGCATGAGCCAGAAAGATCCCCCATAGGCCACGTGCAGGGTCCTGGTCCCAATCTGGATCAGGCACATCGGGGAGTTCCTCACGGTGGAAAAGGAGAGCAGCGAGAAGATCATGAAGGCCCCTGTGACCAGGAGCATGTACCCTCCATAAATGAGGACAGGCATGGAGAAGAGAATGTTGGAGATGACCCACGTGCAAAAGGCTACCCTGGAGACAAGGGAAGACAAAGAGATGAGTGGTGTGAGTCCCAAGGATTAGGGCACTCTGTGTGAGGATTGCCATGTGGTAGGAGAAACTGAGCTCCAAGTGCACTGTAGGAGGTGGAGAAGCTCTGTGGGCAGGCAGGAATAATCCCTAATCCCCACGCTGGGCACGTACATGTGCAAGGCTCACATTGCTACATACAGGAGACAGAAACACGGATCTCCTCCTCCCATTGCTCAGCCCACAGACAGCACCAGCCTCAAGGAGGCTGTGGCAGCCCCCTCAGTGTATCTGGACCATCCCAGTTACCTGCCCTTCCACATGTGGGGCAGCATGGTCCCTGAGAGTAGCACCCAGGACTGAGATAAGCGCAGGAGCAGGCAAAGGTCATTTAAAGAAGCTCTGCACTTGCTGAGGAGTTGGGCTACAGAGGAGGGCCTCAGTTATGGACCAGGAGCTCTTGTTCCATGGCATCACCAGACTTCTTCCCTGGTTTCTGCGCTCCTGCTGTCAAACACCAAGCAGGGAGAACAACACTACAATGATTCTTGATGGCCCACACAGGGTGGAAGGGACCATCTCCTGCCAGCTGGGCACCAGCTCTCCCCAGCCCAAGTGGGCACTGACATATCTCTGACCTTGCCCAAGAGTCAAGACCCACTCCACAATAACAGCTGCAGGATCTTTTCCCCAGCTGGTCCCAATCTTAGATACAAAATCCACTCACAGGTAGGGTTGGGAGAGCTCTTCATGTGTCCATGGGCCTCTCTGGGCCACCAAGGACAGCAGCTTCTACTCCATCCATGGGGATGGACTTCTGCCATCACCACCACATCACAGCAGGAACCTGCACCACGTTCCTCTGTCCTGTGCCCAGCCCTGTGGATTTGTTCAACAGGGAGAACCAGGACTCCTTCACTGCTCAACAGTGCCCAGCAGGGCCCCCTCCATGCACACAGCTTCCCTCCTGGCAGGATGCAGTCCCACCCATCCCAAGGCCTAGGGGAAGGCAGCTAAGCTCTTCACAGCCCTGCACGTGCCTGCAGGGCAGGAGAGCTCACCAGAGCAGGGCTGAGGCGTAGTGGCCGGCGACGCGGTACTGGCCGTGCACGGCGCAGGGGCTCTGCCTGCTGAACTTCTCTGCCACGTAGAGGATGGGGCTGGGCAGCCCCTTCTGCAGCCCCTCGCTGTAGCTGCGCTCATAATCCGCTCCAAAGCTCCAGGGAAAGTGCTCGTTGTAGTTGATGGTCTCGTTGATCTGCTCCACTGGGTTTCCTGCGGCAGGGACCAGCTGAGCTCCTGCCGTGCCAGCTCCTGGGCAACGCCAGCCAGCAGCACGGGCACGGCAGGGTCCCAGGAGCCTCCAGACGGAGCAGGGGTCCTGCAGAGCAGCTGCAGAGCTGCTGGGGCCACTGCAGAGTCCCAGCTGGGGACAGCAGACTCACCCCTGAGCGTGACGTTCAGCCCTGCCAGGCCGATGTGCAGCCCGATGTCCGCGTTCACCTGGGCATGGCTGAAGGACTTGTAGGAGGTGTTTGCCTGCACCCAGCCAGTCTCCCAGTCCCCTGTGAACTGGACAACTGCCAGGAAAAATAAAGCTGGGGTTAAAACAGGTCCGGTTTCAGGCTTTGCAGTGCTCAAGGGGAGAATCACAGGTGAGTGGCAGCATTCCCACCATGGCACTGGAAGGGAGTGTTAGGAGGGCAGGAATGCTGATTCAGCCACCAGGACATGCCCCAACCAGCTCCCACACCCTGCAGAGCTCAGGTCCTCCCCTTGCTAAGCATCCACTCCCTGGATCCGGGAACAGCGGAGCTCAGATCCCCAGGGATGGACATCATGATCTGATTTCTCCTTGGACATCCTCTCCAGAACTTCCCTGCAAACTCCCCACCACGGAAAGCACCACACCGCCCAGGGACAGGGTTGAGAGATGAGCCACAGGAACAGGGGTGAGTCTCATTTCACACATCCAGCTCCCTAAACTGCACTATTAGTGAATATTAAAAATCATTGTCAAAAGGAGGGGTCAACAGGGGTGGGAAGTGCCATCACAGCTTGGGCAGTCATTCCATCTGGGAAAAATGAAAAATTGGAAGCTCTTCTGGTATCTGTTTTTTGGAACAAGGTATCCTTTTCTTAAGCACTTCCACTTTGCAGTGGGCTTTGCTTTCCAGCAAGGAAAATAAAGCCGATGGGTTGATGCCAGTCTGAACAAAAAACCTTCCTGAGAAAATGTTCAGTTGCTGAGTCAACTTGTGAGGGCACTGATGCAGTGGGAGCTCCACAGGAATGTTTTTTGGCTGCAGGGGTGAGTGTGCCCTGCTGCTGCCAGACAGAAACTCTGACGCTGGCTCCTGGACAATTTGTTCTTCCTGTGTGCCCAAGCAGAGCCCGACTGCAGCCTTGTCGTGGGGTGGTGCTGGGTGGCTCTGCAGGGCTGAGCTGGCTATGGCTGTGGGATCAGCTCTGGTCTCCACCCCTCTGCCACCTCCAGCCTGGCACCACGTTCTCAGGTGGCTCTGGTGGCATCCCCAGGGTGGCAACTTCATTCTGGGATGGTCCCCATGTCCTGAAACTGGTCCCAGTCTGGCTACCTACTTCTAGTGCCTGGTCAAATCAGAGCTGAATCTTTTAGGTTATCATTATCCCTCTCCTTCATCATCCCTCTCCAAGCAGTCCTGTAATCCATCTTGTCCTTCACAGCAGGAGGGATGCTTTGATTTAGGGTCAGGGCTGGTTTCTCTTGCCATCTGGCATCTTCTGTCCCCTCAGTACATCTTTTCTTACCCATCCTCTTGTCCTGTCTGGGTTGGAAATCCCACTGCCTGGTTTTCACCATCAGTTATTACAGGATATTTCCTGGGTTTTACTAAATTAAATCCTTTTCTTCACCTCCTCTGACCTTGCTCCTTGGGAGGTCTTTACCCCACTACTGCAATCTCTGCCCTGCCTGTGTTTTATTTCAACCTGCCCCCTCCACATCACTTCAAGGCTCCTCACAATCTCCAAACATGCCTGGCTGCAGCCCCAGGCAGCACAAGAGAGCTCACAGAGTGGGGGAAATAATGGGAAACTGGTGAAGGGGATTGTAAACACACTCAACCAATGTGTAGCTGGGGTGTAGAAAAACCCAGAGATCACAGTAAGCTCTGTCTAGCCCTGTGTGTTGGAAAAGTGGAGCACCTTTTGAGCAAACTTGAGATCCAGCCCTGTTATGGGAAAAATCAAAGTACGTCAGTGAACTACACCTGCACAAATCCCTGAAACACAGGTGAAAACAGCAGGTTTGGTGACCCTTGGTGCCAGTCCCCTCCTTGTCTCTACCCAGTGCTGCTTTGGGGGTCCCCTGGAGAGCAAGGTCATGAAAATAAATCTGCTCTTTGCATTTCATCCATGCTTTTCTGGCTGTTCCTGCACCCTGCCAGTGCTGGGTCATACACACAGCTGGAGGAACACGGGGCTGAGCAGCCTGATGGAGCTGGAGCTGTTTGAGTTACAGCCAACAAAACTCCCAGAAGTAACCATGGGCACCTCCAAGAGCCCTCAGCCCCCATACCAGGGAAGGGAAAGCTATTTTGGGAAGCTGTGTGACTGCTTTGCAGAGCAAAGGTAGGGTAAACCCCATGACCAGCTGTGGTTGTGACCCCCAGCTCACTTTTCCCAGGCACAGACCCTGCCCCAGGGTTTAATCCTGCCCCCAGAGCCATCCCCGAGCGCTGCCCAGCACTCACCGACAATCACCACTCCCACGAAGAGGCTGAGGAGAACACGGAGGGTCCAGTACAACCTCTGCAGGGAGACAGGGGCACATCAGGCAGGGAGGACTAGCCCTGGCTGTCCTCCTGCCTCCCCCTAAAGCACCGGGGGGGTCCCAGCGTGCAGAACGCGAGGAGCAGCCGCCCGTGCCCAGGTCACGCACCGCCCGCCCGCGGATGCCCGGGATGATGAGCAGGAAGCTGCAGGCCAAGGTCAGGAAGACCACGACGACGATGATGGTGCTGATGTTGAACACAGCAGCCTTGCTCTGCTGCGGGTAGAAGGGGTAGACGCCGTCCAAAAGAGTCATCCTGCACCTCCAGGAGCCTGCGGGAGAGAGGTGGTGACAGCGGGGACCCTGCGCTGCCCTGCCTGGATGCCTCCAGCCTGTGGTGGCTCAGCTCTGGAATAACCAGCTGAGGGAGGTGCACCTGCAGGGTCCCCAGAGGGACAAGGAAATGTGACGCTGCAAGCAAGCAGGCGGGCAGGACACTCCCCGGCAGAGAGCACGCCACCCAAAAGACCTCGGAGGAGGAGACGAGGTGCCTGGGGCAGGGCTCCAGCAGCCCGAGGACTGTGGCAGCCCAAGGAGCCACAAGCCCTTGCCCTGCTGCAGCGTGAGGAGCAGCCCCAGAGCAGGAACCTGCTGAGCAGCTCTCGCCTGCACAGGGCCAGGTCCTTCCCTCCAGCAGCTGCAGCCAGGGCTTCCCACTTTGGGGTGAACTCTTAGGGGAAGTACCCAAGCCCACTGGGGAACTTCCCAGTGGGCAAAGAATGCAGAAGCGTTTTCCTCCAAAATTACAAGGAAGCACCGAAAACATGGATTTCACAATAGCAGAATTATCCCCAGCGAGGTCCAGCAGTGCCAAGTGGAACAAGTCCCACTAATCCCATTCCTGCCCATTTCCTCCAAGAAGATTTTCCCCAGGAGCTGCTGGTCTGGTGAAGGAGGAAGAGGAAGGATTGGTCCTGCACTTGGTCGAGAGGGGCCAGAAGCAGCCCCTATTCCCAGGCTGAGGGTCCAAAGAACATTCAAAACTCCGTGAGCACATCTCAAGGCTAAAGGAAGCTGAATTATATAAAATTAAAAGGTGTGTGTCATTCCCACAGATGACTTTGAACTTCCTCTGGCACTCCACTTCCAGCAATTACACACCTTATTCCTGTGCCTGGGTTAGATCTTTTCTACAAAAACTGATAATATGCTTAGTCCTCTTGCTTTGCTTATTTAATTGCCTCTCTGCATGTAACTGCCCCAGGAAGTTTGCTGAAGTCAGGGAATGCCAAAGCTGATCTGACTCCTGTCCAAGCAACATGTTCCTGTATAGAAGAGGTGATTTTATTCTCATTTTCCAAAAACAGTTTAAATCATATTTTTAGGTAAGATCTAACCCAGAGCAATTCAGCCACAAAAAGCTGGTCCCGAATCCCTAGAGGTGAGTGGGGATCACAATAATTATGATAAATCAGTTTGTTTAGGCAGCTGAATTGCTTTTCAATACATAAAACAATATTTGATTTGAGAATGTTCTGTCCAGTAACCCAGAAAATAACAGCAAAGAGTGGAACGGAGACTGGGATTTTACAACGGCTCTGAATTTAGCTTGACTGCTACAGACTGACAGAGCTGTCATGTGCTATTAAAAATCTTCTTTGGGGCTATTTTGCTGTAACAGCTTTGGGTTATTTTCTTGAAAAGCCAAACCCAGAGAAAGGCAGCCCTCAACTGCTATGATTACCTGGCAAGCAGAAGCTGCAGCTGTTTCCTGGTGCTCCTGAAGTCCAGCAAAAGTGCCCACAAAACAGTCAGAGCTGCTGCAAGAAAAAGGAATTAATTATTAAATCATAATGGCTTGAATTCCACTTGTTCCTGGTACCTTTACCCAAATTTCCTATGAGATACAATGAAGCAGGAAGGATTTCCAAGTCTGTATTCACCAAAACATTACTCTTCAGAGTTTTGAAACATTAAAAACCAGAACTTAACATGGAGAATGCTGTCTTGTTAAATCTAAATTTAGCTTTCAGCCAACACCAATGGATGTTTGCATTTCCATATGCTGGGACTTGTTTTATAGAGAATTTCCAGGGAAAGAACTCTTTTGCTGTCTGTCCATCTTTCTCACTTGATTGCCCTTCTGGCATTTTTGCAGCTCTTTGGCCTTTTTTGCAGCTTTCAAATGGAAAAGTGATGCCTACAGCTCATGGCAGGAGAAACTGAACTTGTTGCACCTTGGGAAGCATCCTCCACACTGAAGCATTGCTGTGACCTTGGAGCCCCCGTGGTTCCCTCTGTCACAGTATATGGAGGGGGGAAAACCTGGAAACATCTTCAAGGAAGGATCAACAGCTCAGCAGAAACAGACAAGTTAATCTTACATTTTAAAATAGTCTGGCTGTGGAGGAGAGAAAGGCAAAGAAGGCAGAAAGTTTGCCCAAACCCCAGAAGTTTCTCATTACAAAATCTCCAGAATGAATCAAGATAAAAGGATTTTTTGGAAGTGCTCAGTCAAAAACCTCCCGGTGGCAGGGCCAGCAGCAATCTTAGCTGGGTTGCTCAGGGCTGCAGGTTGGTATTTTCCATCGGGGAAAAAAAAAGATGTTGTCCCCTGGAAACTGAAACATCAGAACTGCAATTTCCAGCTAGGGAAAGAGGGGCGAGGGGGCAACCTCGCTTCCCTGACAGAGTGGAATAGAGGAACCGGGGGGTTAACTGCGGATGGGAAACATCTTCCCCTCGCGGTCCCGGCGAGACGCGACCCCCGCAGCAGGGGCTGGGGACCACCCACCTACCTCCCCCTCCTCCTCCTCCTCCTCCTCCTCCTCCTCCTCCTCCTGCTACTGCTGCTGCGGGCGGCGGCTCGGGCGGCTCCGTCCCGCACGGCTCTTATAGGCGCGGGCCGTGTGTGACCGCCCCGCCGCGCTCCGAGGCGAGCCCGCCGCCGCACCGGGGGACAGCGGGGCTGGCACACCGGGGACAGCGGGCCTGCCACGCCGGGGACACGCGTGCCTCCGCCTGAGGGGAGCGGAGGAATCGAGCACACCGTGCCCCGCTCGCGCGGAGGGCAGCGGACGGACGCCGGGGTACGCGCGTCCCGGCCGGCGGGGCGGCGGGAGGGACGGGCGGCGGGGACACCGCGGTCCCGCCGGGCCGGTTCCCTCTGAGCGCCGGGCGTGTCCGCGCTCGGGAGGATGTCCGAGGGACGGAGACCACGCGTGTTCTGCTGCCCGCGGGGTCGGCACCACGCGTGTTCCCCTCTGCCCCGCCGGGACGCGGCGGCCCGGGCCGGGCACGCTGTTACCTGCGGAGCCTTGCGCTGGCACTTCTGGAGGGGACGGGGGCTGGCGCTTCCCCTCCTTTTCCTGCTGTGGGACACGCTGGGATGGGGCCGTGCCCGGGCGATGCGGGAAGGGGTCGGGCCGTACCCGTGTCACGGCCCGGCCGGAGGGCTCTGGGCGATGGGTGAGCCCGGCGGGATGGAGCCGTGCGGGTCCTCACCTGCAGGGTGCGGTGCAGCCGCGCACATCCCCGCGCTGAGGGCGCGGGCACGGCACTGAGCGTGTCCCTGCGTGGGGACGGGACACCGCAGAGACCCCGCGCCTTCCCCCAGGGCACGGAGTCCCTGCTGTGCTCTGGGAACGGGGGTGTCCTGCCCCGGGGGGAAGCTGAGACACCGCTCGTCCCGTGTGCAGATTGTCCGGGGGTGTGCACACCTCTAGCACGCTCTGGGATCCAAGGCTGGGCACGTGTAGCCCGTTCTGAAATCCCAGGATTGACTGGGCTCTGGGGGAAGGTGGCAGCCCCCAAGTGTGTCGAACCAGCACTGGGAAGAGATAGAAATTAGCTGTGGCTCACAAGAACCATAGGGATCAGGCTCCAGGCTTCTGGAATGCCTCGGATCTGCTGTCCCCTGGGCGACCACACTCAGGTTCTGCCATGGGGCTGATGCTCTCTCAGGATGCTGGTGTGTTCCACAATTCCAGTGACTCGGATTGTGGCTGTGGGAGAGCCCAGGGGACTCTTGGAGGCTGAAGCCCAAACTTTAGGGGAGCCAAATCTGCTGGGATCAGGAGGAAGAGGAGATCCTTGCTCTGTGGGAAGCTGTATGTCAGCTATCTGCCATATGGTTTTTGGAGGGGTGTGAAACTCCAGGGGTCTTCTCTGATGGGACAAGACAAGGCTGACAAGCTTAATTTCACTAGATGCAGAGGGAGAGAGTGAGTTTCCAAAGGTGGCATGGGAAATCTCTGGAAAAAGCAGAGTCTGGAGGGCTCATCATTACAATATTCCTGAAAAGCCTGACAAGGCTGTGGAAATAATCCAAATTTGACAAGCTTTCCCTCAGCAAGCTGCACCATGGACTTCCAAGGTCAGTCTCCAAGACCACCATTGTTACTGTATCACACTGGCCATGCTCCAGACTGGAAAACCTCTAGAATCTTGGACTGATACGGAAATAAGTAGATTTAATTTCTGAGGTGTAAGGAGATAAAGGGTTCATGAGAACTGGCATCTCATCTCGCAGCTTGGGACAAGAGTAATTACCATACCTGAGAAAAAGGGAGGTGTGCTCAGTGACAGAAGGAATTTTAAAACACTTGTTCTGCTGGAACTCTGTGAGAAGACTGAGGGGGAAATGGGAGACATCTGTGCTGTGGCTGTGGTGATGTGCTTTGAGCTTGGGTTTGCTCTGTGCCTCCTGAGCCACTTCTGTGGCACCCTCAGACCTCGCTCTGGATGGGGGCAGCTGTACATTTTGAGTCAGGAGGAGATAAATCCAGCTGGGATCTCCCTTTCTAGAGCACAGGAGGCCCTGTGGACCTCTCTACACAAGTCAACAACTGCTGCCCATGCCTGGGGAAGGGGCTGCTTCAGCAGGGAGAGCTTTCAGGCAGGAGAGTCCCAGTCCCACGTGGCCATGGTGACAGCACTCTGCCACTCCTGCCAGAGATCACAGGCACCTCCATGTGTCACCATTAGCCAAACTTTCATGTTCTTTGTAGGGAGTGGGGCACACAGAGCCTCTGGTTCCCACCAGCTGCACAAAATAAATCTCACATCTGCCAGACCACGCTCAGCACAGGGCTATGGGGTGGAAAGGATGCAAGAACTGTTGTGATGGTCAGGGAGTGTGGAAATGTCACTTTTTGAGACACAACTTATTTTCTAATGCAAAAAACCAAAAGTACAAGAATCTCTGGCAGAAGGACTGACCACAGGTTACATGCTCTGCTCACAGCCTGGTGATGGGTGTTTAAATTGATGAATGTAATTAATGTGAGTGCAAATAATAATATTTAAATCTCAGATCACTTGGTTTTCCAAGCAGACAGTTCAACATGAACTCACGTGTTGCAGTTTGCACCACTGGGAGTTATAGGTGAAAAATCCCCACTGCAATTCTCAGTAAATCAAATATAAAATGTACAGAGCTGCTGGTAATGTGTAAGCCTTTCTAGAAACATATTTTATTTAAATTTTAATTAAAATAATGAAAAAAAATTTAAAAATACAAACAAATTTGAATGTGACAGAGTGGTGTAAGAAAAGCTGAAACCTGTATGTTGCTGCGTCTCTTGGCAGCACAGCTCTACTGGATACACACTGGATACAAAGAGTGCTGCTCTTTGGACACACACTGAAGCAGGGACAAAGAGCTATATTTAGTGGAAAACCCTGTCTTGGAGTTAAATTCAAATTTGGCATTTCTGCCCATGGAAAGCCAGTGGTAGGTGGAATTGTCTAAATCACTTCACAGTCCAGAACTGGGAATGCCTCTCTTCTGCCAGGTGTTGCCTAGGATTTTAAATGTTCAGCTCCCAGTGGTGAAATCTGCTCTGGATCCAGGGTTTTTGTGGAAAAGGAGATGGTAAAGCATCATGAGAAAGGCTGGTCAGGAGGGACGGCCTCTGGTCAGGTTAGCTCAGAGGGGATCAAGCTGTTCTGCCAGCAGTACTTACACACTTTGGGATGTCTGATTGTATGCTGAGCTTTTCCATCCCTTCACAGAAGGATTTGCTTGGATGGGTCAATGCAAGGAAAATTTCCAGCTGAAATGTGCCTGTTTCTGTAAGGAAGGGCTTTCTGTAGTGGAGCAGACACAACGAGATGATGAGCTGTGAGTTTGTAACTGGGATAGCCCAAGGCAGGGCTACTGGTCCTGCTCCAGCAGAAAGGTTCTCAGGGCAGCTGACACATCCCAGCAGAACTTTCCCAAGATAATGGGATCTCACATGACTCCTGCCAACTTCCCAGAGCCCAGATTAGCAGGCACTGCTCTTGGATGATGGCAGCAGTGAGGTTTTACCCAGCAGCAGAAAGCACAAACAGGAGCTGAGGTTTGGTCTTTCCGTGTTTCCAGCCTCCAGGAACAGCCCACCTCCAGCTCCCTCCCTCTCCTCTCCATTTGCAGGTTGCTGCTTCCCAGTGGCCGATGCAGCCTGCGGCAACGATGCTGAGTTTGCTTGTGGTTCTGGTGGGAACGTGGACCTTGGGGAGTAAGTGTGATTTCGGGGAAGGGAACCCAAGGGGAGATCCTGGGTAGTTGATGCTCCTCAGGGGAATTTCCTCTGACCCACAGGACATCATATCAGAGCACCCTGTTCTTGTGGAAGTGTCTCTGCCCATGGCAGGGTGAATGGAGCCAGGTGGTGCTTATGGTCCCTTCCAACACAAATTCTATGATTCTATGATGCAGTTTGTGAGGTGATAAGAAAAAAATGGAGCAAAGTGCAGATTGAGAAACTGCCCCATGGCAGCTGAGTACACAGCTTGTTACCTGGAAGTCTTTACTTTTACTTTTTATTTTGCTAATACTAGCAATAAAAATTAACATGAAGCAAGTAAGGCTGATGCTGATGCAAAAGCACCAAGTATTTCTTTGACTCACATGGACATTGTAGGAGTCAGAAGTAAGGAGAGGTTTCTGATCCAGTGAAAGAGAAGGACAAAAAGAATGTCTTATGGGATTAGATTGGTGGCGGCCAAAAATTGACCTGGGGACATCAGGATCACAAGCATGAGTTTCTAATTTTAGCTATTGTCCCTCAAAAGGAGTGCAAAACTTGTCTGAAAACCTGCATAACTGGGAAGTTTCAGAAAGCATATGGGAAAAAATCACCATATAAATAGAAATCTCTAGTGGTGATGCTTGCTTCATGCTTTTTTCTTGCTGCTCATGAAGTGGGTCTTGTCTCTTGCAGGAGCCCAGGAGAGCATCTCCTGGGAGGTGCAGCGCTATGATGGCTGGTACAACAACCTGCTGCACCACAGCTATGGCTCTGTGGGTGAGTGCCAGGATGGGAATGGTGGGATGGGGCAAGCTGAGCTGCCCCTCGGGCATCTGGCTTGCTTTGTGGCTGAGACAGAAACCTTTCTGGCCTGAGCCCGAACCAGGCAGGTCAGCAGACAGTGCCACCTCAATGGATGCACCTGAGAGCCCTGTTAGAGCAGTATGGAGGGGCCAGACAGCCCATGTCTGAGCATTTTTGCTGATGTTTTGCTGATGCCCAGGCACCATCTGCAGGTCATGCTGGTGTTGGATCAGTCCCAGAGCAAATCTGTGCCTTTGTGAGATATCTCAGAATAGACTCAGCTCTTTTCAGCAGGTGTTTCTGGGATGGTCAGGGATCCCAGAGCTGTAAAAAACCATCTTTAGCCAAAATCAACATGCAGTTCAACAGGGATTCAACACAAGGCAGAAGAGTTCATGATCCAGGCATGCTGAACCTTTTATTTTCTGCCCTACAAAGAGGTGATATCATGTACTGGTCGGTACTGGGAGAGGCATTCGGGATTTCCCTGTGCCATTGGTGAAGTGTTTCCTCATGCCTACAGCCAGCCCATGGGCTCAACTCTAGATATCCTTGAGCAAGGAACCAGCACAGATCAGGCAGGATCTTATCTAAAACATTGGAGGTTCTGAATCCTCATTTCTGGCAGGTTGGTCACTGCTCTGGTGACACACTGGCACAAGATGCAGTGGCAGCTGCACAGCTTGGAGTTCAAAGGGCTCTCCCACATGACCTGTGTGTCACCAGCCCTTTAGTAACACCAAAGCCTGACAGGAAAAACCAGCCCTGACAGACCAAATCCTCCTCTTCTAGAGTAGACAGATCAGACCTTAACTTTTGGAAACCAACATACGGAAACTAACCCACAAACAAAGGCAGGAATTCAGGAATTCCCCCAGTTCTGGGGAGCTCCAGTAAATGGAGCCCACCACACAGGTGACAAGGCTTCCAAAATCAGTGAGAAATGACCTCCTGCCTCTGGGCTTTTCAGTTTTGAGACCAGCAGTGCGTAAAAAGCAGGGTGTTTCTCTCTCATCTTCACACTTGCCTCGCTGGCTGTTCCCTCTCCTATTCCCTATGGTGCTGGAGAACACCACACTTGTGTAGGATTACACACCACAGCTCAACACTGCTCCAGTTACCCACTGGAGCACCACCCCAGACCTCCAGGAGGCAGCAGGAATGCACATGGACTAGAGAAGGACAACTGGAAGAGAGGAGGATCCCCGCTGCTTTTAAGAGTACTGATTCCAGTGTTGCAAGAAGTTTTGGGCGATGCCACCAAAACTTGGCCACTCTGAGAACCTGTGCTATCCTCTTGCTATCTTCTGGGACCGGAACACACATCCACTGTATGTGCTCCGGCTGTGGCTGTTGTGTCTCTTGGGTACACAGAACCCATTCCATGTTTTCTGGCGCTGCAGGAGCCAGGCTGCGGCGTCTCCTGCCAGCCAACTACGCTGACGGCGTCTACCAGGCGCTGCAGGAGCCCCGCGTGCCCAGCGCTCGCCAGCTGAGCAAGGCGGTGGCGCGGGGACCCTCGGGGCTGCCCTCCCGCAGGAACACAACCGTGCTGGCTGTCTTCTTTGGTAAGACCTGGGGCCTTGCACCGACTGCAGAAATGGTGGTTTGGGTGGGAAAATGTTGTTTTCTCGCACACCCAAGGCCACGCATTGGAGCACTCCTCACCCAGCCCTCTGCAGCAGATCACATGTGGATGTCAGACCCAAAAAGCCTTGGGTACGAGTTTGCCACTGCACTGTCTGGCTAGGAGAGTTCCTGTGGATTTTTGGTGACCTTCGCCAGTTGACCCAAATGCTGATATTTGTCAGTCGGAAACTTCCTCATTTCTTTTAGCAGTGGAGTTGCCCCACAACGAAAACACCGGACAGATCCGATAAGAGCCGTGCTGGGCTAAACTGCTGCAAGCTGGAGCAGTTGTTTCAGTCTCCCAGGAGCTCAGTGGGGTCTCCAGGCCTGGAGATGTCTGTTTCTGGGAAATCACAGCATCCCAGAATGTTTGGGATGGAAGGGATCTCGATGGTCATGTTGTTCCAGTAGGCCAGGTTTCTTCTCAAGCCCTGTTCACCCTTGCTGCACACGGTGGTCCCCTCAGCCTACCCACAGCTGCCCTCCCTGGTGTCCTGCCCCAGGTGCTGGCAGCATCCTGGCAGCAGCTGACCATGCTTTGGTGTCTGTCAGGTTTCCATGTGCTCTTGGACATCCTGGAGACAGAGAAACCCGGCTGCCCTGCTGAGTTCCTCAACATCCACATCCCCTCTGGAGACCCCGTGTTCGACCCCGCCGGCACTGGGGATGTGGTGCTGCCCTTCCAGCGCATCCACTGGGCAGCAGGGACGGGGCAGAGCCCCAACAACCCCCGGGAACAGGTAGGTGTGGCTTCCTCTGCTCTGTGCCTTTCATCTAAGTTTTCCTTCATCTGCATCGGGGTATGTAGCAGCCAAGATAACTTGCAAAACTAAAATGAGAGCACTATTACATCCCTAAAAACACACATCTCTCAAGTGTTTGAGCCAAACAAGTGTTTGAACCACCTCTCAAGTGTTTGAAATGAACCCAAAGTCAACTTCCAGGTTTCACTCTGAGTAACGCTAGTGATTGCCCAGGGTCAAAGCATTTCCTGAACAAAGAAAAGGTAATTAGATCAGTTAATTGTTGCACATTGTTTTAGGCACCAAGTCCTACCTTTAATAACGTATCACAAAGCTGAGCTGGCATTGCCACAAAGTTGTGGTGCTTCCCTGAATTTCAGTTATTTTGGAAAATAAATCCGGGTTTCCCCCCAGTTTCTCTGGATTTTGCTGTTCTGCCTGTGTTCCCCAGATTTCCTTCATGCTGGAGATCTTCCCAGCCAAAATCACCAAAGTGAAATACCCCCCTGAACCTTTCACATGACAAACCCTGAAGAGACCAGTTTAGCAAGTCATGTTTTTATCAACATTTAAAAGCTTAAACATTTGGAAACTCCAGCATGTTTTCAGAATAAAAAGTATATTTCCATGCAAACATTTGGCAGCGGAGATACTCAACATGCTTACAGGACAGTGGGACTTGCTGCTGTGAGATCAGAGGGGAAAGCTCTGCTGTTCCCAGTTTCCCTATAGATGGGTTTAACTCATTCCAGCTTACACGGGGACTCACAGATGTCTGCTTCTGGACATAGTCAAAATAACTGGGGGAAAAACAATCCCAAATGTACTTTTGAAAAGCCTGCACCTGGTCTTTTCCTCTACCTGGCACTAATTCCTGAAGTTTGCACAGAGATTTTTCTGTGTATTTATTTCCTTCCTGAGAGCTCTTGTTAAATAAAATAGGGTTAAACCAGAATGATTTCCAAGAGCAAAAGAGGCAGACTGGGGCTTTCCAGACCTCTTTTTTTACACTTTTCCAGTGAAATCCTGGCACCTGTTAATGCCTCTTCCCTGTGCCTGCCCTAGACCAACGAGATGACAGGCTGGCTGGATGGTAGCTCCATCTACGGCCCCTCACACTCCTGGAGCGATGCCCTGAGGAGCTTCCAGGGGGGACAGCTGGCATCAGGGCCCAGCAGGAGCCTCCCGAGGCAGACAGACGGGAGGGTTCCCATGTGGAAGGCACTGGATCCATCCACGGGACAGGGCGGTCCCCAAGGGATCTACGGTAATGGTGGCATTCCAATAGTTTTTCACCCCTGATTGGGAGCAGGGGGTCCCTGGAGCTGAGCCCAAAATGGATCCCAGGAAAGGGGAAAGAGATGCAGGATATATGGGTCAGGAGGGCTGGGGGAGAGCAGGCAGTTTCCCAAGGGGGTGGAAGATTTGAGCCCCAGCGAAGACATCCCAGCAAGGACACACCAGAAACTCCAGAGGCCACATGCTCAGGCAGCAATGTCAGACACCAGCTCTGGTCCCAGCTGAACTCCTCTGGGGAAAAGGGCTGCTGCTGATACAAACCCATTCAGCTTGCTTTGAATTCTTCACCTGCCCAATGTGCTGAGGGCCCAGTACTGCTTCTCACTGTCCCAGGTTGCTGGTCTGCCTGGGGAGGAAGGAAGGGCAAGGGGACACTGGGCTGGATCCACAGGGCTGGGTGTGCTCCTCCAGCCATGGGCAAGGCTAGACCCAGTGGAGACATCCCCCACTGATGGTCACGGTGGCTCTTGCAGACCTGGGGAGTGCCTGGGGGAATGAGAACCCCTTCCTGCAGGCTAAGAGCATCACCTGGTTTCGCTACCACAACCATCTGGCCACAGCACTGGCCCAGAAGCACCCTGCCTGGTCCGATGAGGATCTCTTCCAGCACGCTCGCAAGAGGGTCATCGCCACTTTCCAGGTGAGGGATGGGACCCCCCAGCTCTGCTGGGACCCCCAAGACCTTGCATGGTTCTGGCCCTGACCCAGCTTCCCTGTTCCCTAGAGCATTGCTCTGTACGAGTGGCTGCCGACCCTGCTGGGCACACAGGTCCCGGAGTACCAAGGTGAGGGGTAGGCAGGCAATGGAGTGCTGGAAGCAGGGGGAGGGGGCTAGGGGAGCTGGTGGGTGGGGAGGGACAGGGAGCTTGGCCCCTTTTCCCTCCAGCCTGGTTACTTCCCCACCCCCAGGTTACCAGCAGCACCTGGACCCCAGCCTCTCTCCTGAATTCGTGGCAGCTGCAGGGCAATTCCTGGCCACCATGGTGCCTCCAGGGGTTTACAAGAGGTAGGAGCAGCCTGGCAGGACTATGGGACTGCAGTGCCTGTGTGAGGGGAGGGGATGCCCAAGCTGGGCTGGTGGCTGGAAATGGTCTTTGTTGGGATGGTCTCTGTCCCTTCCCCATGTCCTGCTCTCAGCTGAGACAGCCAAGCCCTGACAGCTCCAGGCAGCCCTGCTCAGGGCTGTGGGCTCAATCCTTCTCTGTTGTTCCAGAGACACCAGGTGCCGGTTCCAGAACGTGTCTGTGTCCGGCGGCTCGTTCCCAGCAGTGCGGCTCTGCAACAGCTACTGGAGCAGAAAGGTGCAGGGAAAGGAGCACGGGGGTCCTGAGGATGTGGCAGGCTGGCCAGGGGGCTTCATCCCTAGCTCTGTGTTATGGGGTACTCCACAGGGGTCTGTAAGGGAAACTGGGTGCAGAGCAGGACAGCCAGACAGGGGGTGAAAGATCCTCCCCATCCAGCATCCCCAGCCTTCAGCTGTGCCAGGCTCAGACCTCGAGGCTGACCTGATGTGGAGAAAATGAGCCTGGAAGAGGTCCCTGATTCCTGTATGCCATGAGCCTGCACCCCTGGGGGCACCAGTTCAGGGCTGTGGAGCTACTTTCTGTCCTCCCTTGTGCAAGAGGAATCACTTGCCCTTCCCATGCCTCTCAGAGCCCGGGGCTGCAGCAGGCAGAAGATGTGGACAGCCTTCTGCAGGGGATGAGCTCACAGATAGCAGAGCGGGAGGACAACATTATGGTGGAAGATCTCCAAGGTCAGTACTGCAGCTGTGCCCTGCTGGGGGACCCCCATGCCTGAGGCTGTGCTGGGGGCAAGCTGGGGAGGCAGGTCCCAATGCCTCCTTCATCAGCTCCCAGCCACGCACTTCAGCCTCTTTAATGAAGGTGCAGAGAGCTACAGAACACATTAAACATGTCCACCCACAGATTACTGGTATGGGCCCCTGAAGTACTCCCGCACTGACTACGTGGCCAGCTGGATTCAGCGTGGGCGAGACTTTGGCCTGCCAACCTATAACCAAGTCCGGCAGCATTTTGGGTTGAAACCTCTCCAAAACTGGTCAAACCTTGCCCCTCACCTGGAGCCACAGGTAACAGGGAAGCAGTCTGGGCAAGGAATGTATGTGGGCCAAAGAACAATCGGACATTCCAGGCAGGAGCTGAATCCTGCAGCATCATAGGAAGAGGGAGATCAGTGCATGTCCTGCTCTGGCTGACTTTCATGCTCGCAGGGGGGTAACTGTGCAATTACATGACATGGATAAACCATCCTGCCCCAGTGTTACACTGTGCCACCAGGCACGCTGCTCCTCCTAGAGCTGAGATGCCCTGGGAGTGATGCTCAGTTGCTCAAGTTCAAGCCACGAGCTCGAGGCTGTGTGAGGCTTAGCATCCTCCCAGTCCATAGATATGTGTGATGCCTGGGAAATGCACACTCCTTACACTCCTAAGGTTTGCCAACACTTTCTGATGCCCTGGCAGAATTCCCTGTGCTCACAGATGTGTGCTGGGGGTTTCTCACCAGGTCCTGCAGAAGGTCGCTGCCCTGTATGGCAACAACATGGCTGGGCTGGAGCTGCTCCCTGGAGGCATGCTGGAGGCTGATGGCTCCCTCTTCTCTACCATCATCCTGGAACAATTTCTGCGCCTGCGTGATGGCGACAGGTTTTGGTTCGAAAACACCAAGAATGGGTAATGGCCTTGTCGCTATCTGGCAGCTGCTCTGCAAATCCCAATAACACATGAAAACTGGGGCTGGAGGAAAAAGCATCCTCCAGCTTCCTCAGTTCACTCCTGCTGCTGGTCAGTGACACCTGGGGCAACCACTTGTCTCCACGTCCTTTTCCTCAGGCTGTTCACAGAGGAGGAAATCAGGGAGATCCGTAACACCACTTTTCACAGCGTCCTGACTTCTGTCACCCATGCCAAATCCACAGAGCTCCAGCCCCATGTGTTCACTTGGAGAGAGGGTGAGTGCACCCTGCAATGGGAGGGCACAGGGAGGGAATGGGTTCAGTAAGGCAGCAAGGAAAACAGATCCATCCCAGTGACACAGCAGGTGAGTGAATGACACAGGGAACACATCAGGTTTGGAGTTTCTCAAGCCTCACACCTGCTATGACCCTAAACCAGCAAAATGGGCACAGAATGCAAAGCTTGCTTGTGAGCAAGACATTGATGCATGATGCAGATGTTGAAAGAGGGCTGTAGTGCGGGCATGATCCCAAGAGGAAAATGCATGTTACTGTTTGGCAAAAATGCCTTTTCCTCTTGGAATCTTGCCACACTCTTCCCATTTACTGCGAGCATTTCATTTGGGCAACATTCCAGACCTTGCAATTTGCTTTTGTTCCCTTGGTGTGTGTTCCTTTTAATCACACCAGGAGGACTTCCTGGATTTGCAGCATCCAGATGAGTGGAGGCTCTGAGCCCTAGATTGCTACGGCCCAGGGTGCCTCTTGCTCAGCCCACCCCAACAGGAGAGGTGATGGTGCTGAACCTCCAGAGCACTTGAGTCCAGTTCTGTGCTTGGTTTGCTGGGGCAGGCAAAAGTTGAACCCAAACCCAAAGGCTCTCTCCAAGATCTGGATTTTAAATCAAGCACCCCAGTTCTGCAGTGCTGGGTCACTCAGCCATGAACCCCATCAATATTTTAATGCAGAGGTTCCCGGGGTGATGCAGGTGAGCTGGGTACAAGGTCAATGACACTCACAGCCTGTTTCCCCCTTGCAGGTGACCCATGCCCCCAGCCCCAGCAGCTGACAGCTCAACACCTAGCCAACTGCACGCCCATGATGGTGCTGGACTACTTTTCAGGCAGTGGCGCAGGCTTTGGGATCATCATTGCTGTCCTCTGCTGTCTGCCCCTGGGTTTGTCATTCTGTTTCCTCTTCTTGCCACTCTCCTCCTCTTCCACTTCTCCACCAGAGAAAGGGGCTGAGTGCCCTGGACAAAGCACCTCCCAGCTGGAGCTGCTGAGTCCTGGTCTCTGCTGAGCTGCTTGAGCTGGCAGGGTCCTTGGGCACCAGGAGGGAGCCAAAAGGGGAAAGGAGCTGTGTGGTCTCTCATGCCTCCTTCTCCCATGTGTCCACAGTGACTCTGTTTGTTGCCTGGGTTGTTGCCGCTTTCCGCAAGAGAGATTTCAGGAAGCTGCAGAGGAAGCAGGGCACCAGCTTGCGCAGGGAGGTGTCCGGCGAGGCCATACACGGTGAGGTGGCACTGTCAACCCTGCGAGGGCGTCTGGTGGTGCTGCTGCAGTCAGGGCACACACTGAGGCAGGGCTGGGCCTGGGGCTTATACCCAGCTGGGATGCAAGGAGGAATTGTTTCCCCAGGGGCATAGTCAAGGAGTGGAACAGAGAGCCCAGAGAACTTGGTAGCCCATCCTCCCAAAACCTGACCAGATACAGCATTGAGCAGACTGATCAATAGACTGGCTGGTCCTATTTTGGGCAGGAGGTTGGGCAAGATACCCTTCCAACCTGAGTCCCTTCCAGCCTAAATCATCCTATGCCCTTCTAATTCCAGTCCTCCCCAGATCAGACCTTGCCTGAAGGAAACCTGTGTAGAGCAATCACACCAGTAGCTTCAGGACAGGGACAGTATCTCCTTGCTCTGCACACTGGAAAAATCCTGCCTCCCTGCTCCATAGTCTGTATTCCCTCTGTGTCCACGTGCTTGAGCTCTGCAGTTAGGAGATTGTCGTTATTCCTTTAAGATATTTCTGGTCATGAAATCACTCCCAAGCTGCCTCTCGGTGAAAGAGGTTCTGAGACGAGTAGGAAACTTTCCAGCTGAGTCCTGTGCTCTCTCCCACCAGCCATGGAGTGGCATGGGCCCAAGACAGACAATTGTCCCGTCTACATTCAGCTCCAAGCTGACAAAGTGCTCAAAGTGCTGGATAGCAGAGGATCTGTGCTCCGGAGCATCAACCTGAAAGCCCACCAAAGAGTGGAGGTGATCCTCTCCAACAACAAAGGGAACAAAGCTCTGCTCCTGAAGAGCCCCAAGGAGTACGACCTGGTAAGGAGCATGGTGCCTGGGTTATGACACCTTCCCCTGGACCCTCCACAGTCTTCTGCACCACTCAGCTGGGGGCACTGGGAGCAGTGTAAGGCCTTGAAGGGAGGTTGTGGCCACCTGAGAACCACCAGGTCCAGCAAAAACTGTGGAGCTGAGCCTCTGATGATCACAGCCAGTCTCTGGGTCCTTTGCAGGTGCTGCTCTTCAATGAGGAGGCTGAGAGGAGCATCTTTCTTGGGAAGCTAGGAGACTACTTGAAGGAGAGCAGATTTGACCTGCATCTGTCTGAGATGAAGGAGCAGAGCCTGATGAAACGGGCAGTCACCCAGGAACAGAGAAAACAAATTCTAGAGACTTTCTTCAGGCACCTGTTTGCTCAGGTGTGTAGAGGTGTAGCAAACCCTGATGTGTGGGAGAAGGTATTTCTGTATTGATTAAGCAATAAACAATGGGGCTGGTGCTTTCTGAAAGAGCTGGTAAGTCACAAACAAGGAAGCTGCCAATATTTCCAGGAAATACATTTTCCTTTGCAGAAGACAAAAGGAGACCTCCTGCAGTGATACAAGTGTCTAAAGTGACAAAGAGACTATTGGGTGATGTAAAAGGTCTCCAGAGTGGTCAGTCATGTGGAATGTGAAAAGTCACATTGTGTAGGAGGGATGCAGGACTTTCTCCATGGTATCTGCCATGAGTTTTGTGCCAGGGAGCCACCAGTCTTTGTGCAATAGGTCAGAAAGGAAACACCAGCCTTCTGCTCTGCCATCACTCACAGCATTTCTTTTGTGGGACACAACCTGCAGGTGCTGGAAATCAACAGATCCGATGCCGGGGAGCTCAGCTTTGAATCTTCACAGAAGGCAAAGGAGTCTCTTACCTGTGAGCTGAGCAGGGCTGAGTTTGCTGAAGCCTTGGGGCTCAAAGAGCACTCCATGTTCGTGGAGTCCATGTTCTCCCTGGCTGACAAAGATGGCAATGGCTACATCTCCTTTCGGGAGTTCCTGGACATCTTGGTGGTCTTCATGAAAGGTGGGAGCTGTAGCTGGTTAATGCCTTCATCTTCTGCCCTTGGACCTGTTTCTAGGCTCTGTCAGAGTGGAGGACAAGAGTCACCCAGCAGGTCAACCTGTAGACACTGCTACAGATTAAAATTTCCTTCACTCAGGATAGCTTCAGCTTGGGTTATGGGGCATGACAATGTAATTGCATTTTCTGGAAGATGGTTCATGAGGGGAGCTGTCTTTCACCACCACAGACATGTCAGCCCTTTCTCCTGAAGGGACTGTGCATCTTGTACCTGGGAGATCATAGCAACTGTGCCTGATATCTTATTCTCCCTAAATGACCCCTGAATGGGGGATTCATAGGTGGAGGTGTTAAATGCCAGATTCAATCAAAACAACTCCCAGAAAAATCATTGTTCTTCAGAAACACACTTTGACTTTGAAAAATAATGCACAAGAAAGAATGTGTGTCTACCCAATATTTCAACTTGCACTTGAGAAAGTCAAGTGGAAGGGTGAGGCTTCACTGCTGCAGGCTCCAGACTCTCAAAAACAACATATGAAATCATCTTTGTTGATGAAAATAGGATCTTGTTCTTACTGTGCCTCTTCCTCTCCCCACCAGGGTCCCCAGAGGAGAAGTCCAAGGTGATGTTCAGGATGTATGACATTGATGAGAATGGGTTCCTCTCCAAGGAGGAGTTTCTGAGGATGCTCAGGTACTCTCCCTCCTCTCTCCTAATGTTTTCACAATGTTTATAGACATGTCTTCAGAAGCAGCTCCCAGTTTCTCTGCTTCTGTGCACCATGGACTCCACACTTGCAATCAAGAGCCCATTTCTTCCATGAAATTGGTCTGGGACTCTGCTCTGTCTTATTTGAGGGACTCAGCAGCTGTTCCCATCTCACCTCTTCGCTCCAGGTCCTTCATTGAGATCTCCAACAACTGCCTGTCAAGAGAGCAGGCAGAGCAGGTGACCGAGTCCATGTTCCGGGCCGCGGGTTTTCAGGACAGGGATGAGCTGACATGGGAGAATTTCCATTACATGCTGCGGGACCACGACAGCGAGCTTCGGCTCACCCAGCTCTGCGTCAAAGGTCAGTGGGCACGAGCACTGGGACGCCCCAGGTCCTGCAAGGCTGGAGGCAATGGGCAGCACCCAATATGGAACTCTCAAATCCTGGCCCATCAGACTCCCCACCTCAACTGCAGTAATGGGGCATCAGCTGTTGCTTCACATGTGACATGTTTGGGTCCGTTCAGAGCTTTTCCCTGCCCACAGGAGAGTCCTAAATTTTGTCTTGCACCTTCTGAATGGCTGTTTGTCCTTTTGTCTCCTCAAAGGTATCCCTGAGGTCTCCAAGCAAAATTTGCACAACTGTGTCTCCTTCATAAAAAAGAGCGAGCCAAAAGGGTAAGCTCCCTTCCTTAGTATTGCTGTTGCTATTCCACCTCTTGCTGCCCTGGCTCACATCTATCCTCCACCCCAGGCTTTCCAACTAATGCTCCCACCACACACTGGAACTCCCAGCGCTGGGGAAGGGGTGGGAAATGCATGCTGGGTGCTGCAGTGGGGCTGCTGTCCTCCTCCCAGGCACAGCCAGAAGGGAGGAATTGCCTCCTGCAGAGCCCTGTTGCATCCTCTGTGTGGAGATGGGAGTCCTGCATTGCTCTTCTGATGGAGGGGTTACCTTGGAGTGAATCCAGACCATGGGCAATTGGAGTTAATGCAGGCAGGCTTGCAGAAAAGAGCTGGACATGTTCTCAGCTAAGCCTGAGATGGGAAGTAGAGAAAAGGGGAAAATTTTGGCAAGCACTTCTAGCAAATAGAACTCTGGGCTAGACATAGCTCTATTTCCACAGAATCATCTCAGAGGAGAAGAAAGACCCAAATCTGGACACTGTGAGTCACTACATGGAGCGAAAAGGCCAAGAACTGAGGAAGAGACCAGGAAGAAAGTGAGTCCCCGCGCTGTGCCTCTGGGGCTCAGGCTTATCCTGTTTGCTATTTCTCACATCTCCATGTCAGACTGGGTAGCCCTCCAGTCAAATGGCACTGCTCCAAGGAGGCACTCATTGGCCAAGGAGCTACAGGAAGAATCTCATCTTGGCAGGACAGTGCCATAGCTGGATCTGGGTGATGTGCCTCTACCAAAAAAAAACCTCAAATAAATGAAGTGGCTAACTCCAGAGGTTGGCATTGTGGCTTTTAGAGAGGAGTCTTGTCTGACTGTTCCTGCTTGTGCTCCTCTGCTTCTTGGGCTGCTGCTGGTTCACCTGGGCTGCCAACAAGAGCTGCAGTAGAGAATCTGGTCCTCCCTGCTGTGGCAGCAGCAAGACTTTCTTCAAGGAAATTCAGCTGCTGTTACTGATGCCCAGAGTATCTTGGTTTGCCTTAATTGTACCAATTAAGGAAATTCCCCTTTTGTGGATAATCTTTTGATGGTTGAATATTACTATGAAATTTTCTTTTACAGCTCTCATCTAGTTTGTGAGTCACTGCCCCCATGTTTGCTACCAGCTTTTGAAGGCATTGTAGAGCAGACTGTCCTGAGATCACCCTCTGATGCTGTGCTCTGCAGGCCGCCCCTGTCACTGATGTGCAGGGGTGCTTTGAGTGGAAACCCAAACCTGGGCCCTGAACCATTCCTTGCTTGGGAAACCTCATGGTGACACCAGCACTCCTGTATTTGCCAGGGCGAACCAGTACCAGCTGCATCTGTACACGGAAGCAAAACGGAAGAAGTTCGAGAGGAGCAGAGTCAGGCAGAAGATCCAGGAGTTCAAGCGCTTCGTTGAGAATTACCGGCGCCATATCGTCTGTGTCATCCTCTTCTCCGCCATCACCGCTGGCGTCTTTGCCGAGAGAGCCTACTGTGAGTGCCCACCCTGCCCTGCTGTGGGGCGTGGGCTTCGTGACTCAACGCTGGTGGTTGCCTGGGGCATGATGGGGACTTGCCCGGCACAACTTTGGGCAACAGTGTCAGTCCTCCCCTGGACTGAGGGTCCCGAAGGATCACTGAGATTGGAAGGGGTCTTTGGAAGGGTCTGGTTCAATACCCTCCTCAGAGAAAACCCGTCTCTAAAGCTGAATGAGGCTGCTGAAGGCCTTGTCTAGAGAAGGTGTGAAGAGTTCCAGGGCTGGTATTCCACCACCTTGCTGGGCATGTGCTGGCTTTGACTGCCCTCTCTGTGAAGGATTTCAAGAATTCAAACCTGAGTTTTCTACAATGAAACTCATGCTCTTGCCTCACATCCTTCCACTGTGCTTCCCTGAGAAAGACTTGCTGTATGCACCCATCAGATGGCTGCAGACAGCCAGCTTCCCTGACCCATCTCCTCCAGCCTGGACAAGCTCATTTCCCTCAGCCTTTCCCTTACATAAACATAGCTCTATGGTGTCCTCCACTCCCACCCAGCCTGGCGGTCTCCACTGGACTTGTCCCAGTTAATGAACACCCCTTATATTGGATTCCCCAACTGAGGCCACAGTCCCAAGGTGCAGATTCCCAGGTAGACATTCTCCTCCTTGGATCTCCAAAGACACCCTGTCATCCAGCAGTTCTGGGTCACTCTGCCCCTTTCCCCACACAAGCCCATCCCTGGTGTCCTGTTTTTGGTGGAGCCACAGAGGTGGCTGTCCCCTTGTTGCAGGAAGGCTGCTGGCCCTCAGTGCTGGGCACGTGACATCCCCTCTGCTCTCTCTCCCCAGACTATGCCTTCGCATCTCCCAGCACTGGAATTGCACAGACCACCTTTGTGGGGATCATCATCTCCCGGGGATCAGCTGCCTCCATCTCCTTCATGTACTCCTACATCCTGCTTACCATGTGCCGCAACCTCATCACCGTCCTGAGGGAGACCTTCCTCAATCACTTCATCCCCTTTGATGCCGCCGTTGACTTCCACCGCTGGATTGCCATGGCAGCCCTGATTTTCTCAGGTAGGTGGGCTGCTGGGGGATTGCCACCCACAAGCAGAGGACCAGCCTATCACACCACGGCAGGACCAGACAGAAGCTTCAAGACCTTGCAGAGACATAGATGCCCTGCACTACAGAAGAGGTGGAATCTCCGGGTCCCTGGGGACATCAGCAGAGTCTGACACATCTCCATCCACATCAACTGATGTTTCTTTCTCTGTATTTTTGTCTCTTACAGTGCTCCACACTGCAGGTCACATAGTGAACGTCTACATCTTCTCAGTCACACCTCTTAGTGTGCTGTCCTGCCTTTTCTCCACTGTCTTTACAAATGATGGGTAGGTGGAAGTTGAAGCAGAGTCCAGACAGGGTGTCATAGCAGAGTCCAGACAGGGTGTCATGGGCACAGACAGAAATGAAAATGGAAAGTTAGTTCATTCTGGTCGCTCCGTGGTGCAATCTCTTGTCCTCCTCCAGGTCACAGCTCCCACAGAAGTATTACTGGTGGTTCTTCCAGACTATTCCAGGTGAGAACACATAGCAGACAGACCTGCACACCTGTGTCCAGAGTGGGCAGCCCCCTGCCCAGTCCAGTCAGAGTCCCTGTGGGGCTGCCCTGGTGTCCCCCACAGGGTCTCTCAACTCTTCCTCTCACAGGCATGACAGGAGTGCTGCTGCTCGTGGTCCTTGCTGTGATGTACGTGTTTGCCACACGCCACTTCCGGCGCGTCAGCTTCCAGGGCTTTTGGATCACTCACCACCTCTACATGCTGCTCTACATCCTGGTAAAGGATTTGGGCTGGAAGGGAGGGATGGTGCTGATGCATTGCAAGCCTGTAGGTGAAGTCAGTGCAGCTGATGAGATGGAATAGCTTGGGGTAGTCCCAAGAGAGATGGTAGCCCGAGTCCTGGCTCCTTGCTGCTGTTGAGCTGCCACCAAATCATCCCTGGGGTGATGACTCGCCTTGCTAAAGGTTCTGTTCCCTGTCCAGGTCATCATCCATGGCAGCTATGCACTGATCCAGCAGCCCCGTTTCTACATCTACTTCATCATCCCAGCTCTCATCTACAGTGCAGACAAGCTGTACAGCCTGAGCAGGAAGAAGGTGGAGATCAGTGTGGTGAAAGCCGAGCTCTTGCCCTCAGGTACCACAGCATCCTGGCCACACAGCACCAGGCTCCCCACAAGAGCATCGGGGGCTGCAGCGATACAGGAACATCAACTCCTCAACATCTCCAACTTAACGGAGCCCGCTCCCATCTCCCCACAGGTGTCACACACCTGCAGTTCCAGCGGCCACTGGACTTTGACTACAAGTCTGGGCAGTGGGTGCGCATCGCCTGCGTGGGCCTGGGCACCACCGAGTACCACCCCTTCACACTGACCTCGGCCCCGCACGACGACACGCTGAGCCTGCACATCCGCGCCGTTGGGCCCTGGACCACCCGTCTGCGGGAACTCTACTCTCCCAAGAACCTGGCCCTGCTTGGCACACTGCCCAAGGTGAGCCCTGCACAGGATGTCACCCATGGGGACATCTGAGCCCAAGAGCACCCTGGCAATGGGTTGTGCCAAGCATGAGGCACTTCTCCAACCCTGAGGGCTTCCAAGATCTGGGCAAGCAGAGACTTCTGCTAACAGCTGACTCCCTTCCAGCTCTACCTGGATGGGCCCTTTGGAGAGGGCCACCAGGAGTGGAACAAGTTTGAGGTGTCGGTGTTGGTGGGAGGAGGCATCGGGGTGACACCCTTTGCATCCATTCTCAAGGACCTAGTCTTCAAGTCATCCATAAACTCCAAGCTGCTATGTAAGAAGGTAAGAGTGTCTGAAAGACAAGCCCTCCTGAGAGGTTGGACTTGATCCCAGAGATCTTTTCCAACCTAATTGATTTGTGATTCTGAGATGCCTCCTGTTGTTGCTGGTGTCTTTGGGGTAAAATCCTCTGTGGAGTCCATAGACATTCATAAGGATGTTGGTCCCACTCCGGGCCTCGTTCCAATGTGCCACAGATCTACTTCATCTGGGTGACACGCACGCAGTGGCAGTTTGAGTGGCTGACCGACATCATCCGGGAGGTGGAAGAATCAGACAAGAACAACTTGGTCTCTGTGCACATCTACATCACACAGCTGGCTGAGAAGTTTGATCTGCGCACCACCATGCTGGTGAGCCTGGGCATCCAAGGGGGAGGATGCCAGGCCATGCCATGCCAGGCCCTGCAGGGCCATGCTGGGCTGTGCTGGGCCATCTGACGTGCACCGATCTCTCTTTCAGTACATTTGTGAGCGGCACTTCCAGAAGGTGCTGAACAAGAGCCTGTTCACGGGGCTGCGCTCCATCACCCACTTTGGGCGCCCTCCCTTCGTGCCCTTTTTCAGCTCACTGCAGGAGGTGCACCCCGAGGTCAGTGCCTGCCTGGGGACAGGAGGAGGTGCAACCACTGGCCATTATGGAGGACCGGTCCCAGCCTGTCCCCAAGGTCCTGGGGACCTCAGTGGCATCTGCACCAAGAACACAGTGGAAGGGGAATGAATCCTATTTTCCCTCTGGAGCCAGGCTGAGCTGCGGGAGTCAGCAGTGACCCATACCAGCCAAACACCCCCTGCTATTGCAGGACCTTGGCTGCAACCACTGACCTGAGCTGAGGGGTTCCCATCCTTCCTCCATGGTCCTGGCAGCTCCATGGGAATGTGACAACCTCCCCAAAAGCCTGGGGGAGGCTGAGACAGACTGCTCAGCCAGCATCCATGCCCAAAGCTATCAGAGAGCAAGAGGGGCTGGACTGTGGGGAGAACTGGTGCTGCAGTCTGACCCCTTTGGCTCCCTCCTTCCCCAGGTGCAGAAGATTGGGGTGTTCAGCTGTGGCCCACCCGGGATGACCAAGAGTGTGGAGCAGGCTTGCCGGCAGATGAACAAGAAGGACCAGACCTACTTTGCACATCACTATGAGAATTTCTGACCCTACCCCACACTGTTCCACTCTCTGCCTACAGCTGCATTTTTTCACCCCAGCACCTAGCAGCAATACTTCCAGTGGCCACTGTCCCAGGCTCCCACCCAGCACCCTCCCCAGGTGAAAACCATCCACAGCAGAATGCAGGGATACTGGCACCCACACAGCAGAAACTGGTGTGCTAGTAAAGCCTTGACATCCCAGCACTGCCCTACATGGCCCCATTGTGAACCCCTGAGCCCTGCTACCATCCATACAGCCCTGCAGCCCCATGCCCAGGATCATGCTGGTGTGTCCCAGTCCAGAAAACCCAGTCTGAATTAAACCCTGCTCTGCCCCCTTCAACGCACAAGACAGAGCTTCTGCCCTGTTGGGGGACTCAGGGAATGTCTCTGACCAGCTTTGGGGAGCAGCTCGGTGCCTGCACAACCTGAATTCACAGCACTTTGTTCCAAGACCCATGTGGTGAACAGATGGGGTGAGGAGCCAGCAAGCTTCCTGCTAACCCTCTTCTCAAAACAGCTCTCCTCACATACTCTTCAGTGCCTGCTTGTTAACTCTCTGAGCCTTCCCTGGGTTTGCATAAGGCCTTAGCTGTGTTTGCATTGGCTTCTTCTCCTTCAATCAGGAATCAGTTGTACTTGTTTAAATAATGCCTGGCTTTGCATCACTGCTACTTTTGCAGGCTGTGGTTGAGCTCAAATAAAGCTGATTGAAGTCTTAAAACACTTTCTTGCCTCCTGTAATTGGGTCTTGGTCACCTGGAGACTTGTAATACTTGTGGATAGAGCTGGCCTTGCTCCTGGCACACTGGAAAATGGGCCAAGTTGGAGAGCTTCCCCTGCACTGGTGACATGCATGGAGTTGCGGGTGGGGAAATACAGGCACAGCCCCACTGGTTATGTCCACCAGACCTACTGCCCCCAGCAATGCCCCTGCAGTGTCAGTGCCCCCAGCAAGACCTGATGGAGGAGCAGATCAGACAAGGAACCCAACCAGGCTGAGCTGTGGGAATAACTCCAGACCCTGCGATGATAAACAGCCCCCTAAGACTACAGAGAGCAAGTTTCCATCTCCCAGTAAGAACAATCTTGCAACGGCCACTGGTCTTCCAGCCATGCCAATGGGAATCCCCACAGGACAGGAGCTGGGATGGCCAGTGAATCCCCAGCCATGCCAATGGGGTTCCTCCCAGCATGGCAATGTGCTGGGCACATATTTTGACCATTTCTTCCCACTACAGAAAGTTCTCCTGGGTTATGTCTCATCCCTGTAAAATTCAGCATGGACTTGGGGCCTTCCATCTCTGCCAGGATTAACTTGGCCACATCATGAGGTTTCATTTGCAAGTGGTTGGGATGTTTGAGGTTTCACAGTCCTGCCAAAACTGAGCTCAGCCTGCACACGTGAGAGGCTTTGGTCTGCACAATCCCATGTAAGCCCCTTCAACCCACCACCCCACACTCCAACGGACACATCTGGAAGGTTTCAGGCAGCCAGAATTTATTGAGGAAAATTCAGTACCAAGGAAGGAACTGATCTTTCAGTACTAAAATTAACATGACTGTAATCAAGTATTAGATTTTTTTTCTACCTCGTTAGTACCTTGTTTGTGGCTCACAAACTCAGCAGGAAGGCTTGGTATTCCCAAAGAATTATGATTTGATTGCAGTGGTAAAACCTTTGAGTGATGCTTTCTCCTTATGTCACATATATGCTCCTTCCCATGTCAAAAGCAGCTGTGCTCCCCAACAGACCCTTCATGGGAGGCACATAAGGACAGAGCTACCAGCAGTCCCAGTTTCCCTGCCTGTAGTGGTCCCACGAGGAGCTGTTGGGGGTGACACAGCAGACATGGTCCCAGCTGGCCTCCAAGTTTCCCAAAAACCCAGTTTCTGAACTTTGAGAAGAGTGTGGAGAGAATGACCTGAATGTGCCAGTGCTTCCCATGGAGTGGGGAGGGCCAGGCTTTGTTCCACAGGCTGTACGGTCCCTGAGCACCCACGAGGGAAGGGGAGATATTCACCTAGGACTATTTTGCATCCAGGGATTGCCATGCAGGAAATGCTGCAGCTGGGGCAGTGCAGGACGGGAAGGGGGAGTGCCAGCAGCTCCACCCTTACTGTGCCACATGCCAGTGACACCCTCCCTGGCACAGAGGAAACTGGCCAGGCTCTCCTGCACATGTGGTCTGTGAAGAGCCACCAACCGTGCAACCCATCATCTCTAATTCAGCCTTTTGATTCAAACTATTGGTTGTCCATTTGTAGTTACCTGTTAATGCTCTAATGGTGTCTCCCAGTACCACTCATCCTCATTACATGTGATTTTCTAGTTACAAGCAGCAGGGATGAGGGCTGGGCCCTGGGACAGCTCAGGGGCTCTGATCAGTGGGGTCACACTTCAGCATGACTTTGACCCCCTCACCCCTCTTGGTAGTCTCAAAGGCCTCCAGAGCCTTCTCCAGGGGAAAACGGTGTGTAACCAAGGGCTTGACGTTGATCCGCTTGGATGCGAGAAGAGCGATGGCCACAGGCCACCTGCAAGGGAAGCAGAGAGCAGGGGATGAGAGCAGCCACTAGTCTGGAATCCAAAAAAAGAACATGGAGCAGCCTGGATTGTCACAGTTATTTCCCTAGCCCAGGGAAGTTTTGCCTGCAAAGAACCTTCTGGCGTCTGGTATGGGAGACGGAACAAGCCAGCTGCTCTGGGCTGCTGAGCTCTGAGAAGACAGGCACTGCTACACAGACAGTTGAGAGAGTAAGTGAAATCACAGGAAACTACTACTTTGGAAGTCCTGAATGAAAAACAAAACTGCCATGCTCCACTCTCCTCTTGCTTGTCCTCTTGCCTGCACACTGACCATGGAGGAGCTCAAACTCATGGACTCGGTGAGATTAACCGAAAAGCCTCAGTTAGTTTCCAGCCTTTTCTCTGGCAGAGTACCTCACAGGGAACTCTGTTTAGAATCACAGAAATACTGAGATTGGAAAAGGCCTCCAAGATCATCAAGTCTAACCATGAATGGGCCAAATTAGAGCAACAGGGAGAAGAGTGCAAAGGGATGCAGCAGCTAATCTAGTTCCCAAAATGCCTACTTAATAACATTTCTAATTTTAAGGAGTGTGACGACATCCCAAAAATCCTTCCTGGAGAGCTACAGATTAAGAGACTTTCTCCATTAGCAAGAAAGTAGAGCTCTGAAGAATTTTAACTTGGAGACACATCAGCCCCCCTGCACGAGACTCACGTGTTGCAGTAGCGGAATATCCCACGGATATCCACTTCCCGCACGGCAGCGTTCACAATGGGCACCGTCACCATCTCAGGCCCCAGCCCCACCAGAACCAAGGTCCCACCAGAACGAGTGGCCTGGAGAGCAAAGACACAAACAGGTTACATTTTTCAGAGCACAGCTGCAGGAGCCTGTGCAGGGTCTGTCAAAAACAAAGCCATCCTTTATGGCTGCAATGGACTGCCTGGGGCACAGCAGAGAAGGCAGGGAGAGGCAGGATGCTGTCAGGAGTCTGTAACAGTGAAACATGTGATAATCAAAGCAAAAAATGCAATCTTTTGAAAATATCTGAAGGATTTTGATAGGAATCCAAAATTCCTATTCTGAAAACCCCATTCTGAAAAATGGCTGGCATTTGGGACTACAAAAAGTACTTTGGGATTTCAGTGGGAGACACTTAAAACTAAGAGCTTGATGCTCTACTCAAATTTATTTTTGCATTCCGCTCCTGTCCTTTCACTGTGAAACTACACAGTAATCTTCCCCCATCCTCCTGTTTTAGCAAAACATCCCTTTCTTAATTGCTTCTTTCATTCCTTCTAGAATTAATTTTCTTGATTACTCTTCTTATTTGGACATAACTTCAATGGAAGCTGCTGTCCTGCTCCCTGGGTTTGGGGATCTTACTGGAGTCTCCTTGGTAAGTGGTTAAGCATCCAAACATCAAATCAATTATCCCCATGCTGATGTTAACACTTTAATTATCTCTCTTAGTTTACTATCTAAGGAGCAGCTTCTCTCCCCACACCAAGGCCACTTAAATTAACCACTGTGGGAGTGAAATAGCTCATTCACTGAACCATCCCATAAAAAAAACCAGAACAACACCATCACTGGTCTGCCTTTGGAACAAGTGGTACTCACATAAATTCCAGCCTGGATACAGGCTTGCACTCCTGTGCACTCCACAGTTATCTCAGGCATGCAGCCAAGCACACTTTCCACTTTGGAGGCCACCTCCTGCGGGGTCTCGTTCTTCACCTGAATGGTGAAATCTGCACCCACCTCCTTGGCTTTTTGCAGGCGAGAGGCAGATAAATCTGTGGAAAATAAAACAAGTCAAAAACTGGTGTATTATGTGAAAGAGGGGGAAGAACCTGAACCAGGCATCTGCTCACTACATGTGTGCACAGGACAGTGCACAACCGGAAGAGGTGAGGATCCACCCCTTCTTGGCAGGCAGAGAATGATCATAAAATCCTGGAATAGTCTGGGTTGGAAGCGACTTCAAAGCTCCACTCCACTTTGAATTTCCATTCCCTGCCATGGGCAGTTTCTCTTTGATAGTGCCAGAACACTGAGAGTGCATCAAGAGAATAGACATGGCTATGGACAGCACCAAGAAATCTTTCCAACAGGAGACAACAGGCTCAGTGGATCATTAGTGTGGCCGTTTCACTTTTAACAGTAGAGAATTCTATTGTTAGAAGTGTAACAACTTCTAACAATGAGAACAGACCATGAGCTCTCAAGGGCTTCCTCCAGGAACCCTCAGCAGGTGCCTTCAGCTGAGCAAACTGCAGAATGCATTAGCTGTAAACAGCATGTCTGCAATGTCACAGCAGGACTGTCAGAAACCTGTCCTGCTCTTTACGTCCTTGTAGCAGCTCTGAAGGCTGCTGAGCATCTCTCAGACAGTTTCTGTCACAGATGAATGAGCAGGCAAGCCCATAAAGAAAAAAGGGAGTGGATCTGGTAATAAGGTGAAACT